AGGTTTCCAAGCTGAGCCATGCTGGCTCAGGAATTCTGGGAGTTGAAGTCCACGAGTCATAAAGCAGCCTAGGCCTAGACCAGGGGTAGGCAACCTTGGCTCTTTTATGACTCGTGGACTTCAACTCCCAGAATTCCTCAGCCAGCCATGCTGAGGGGAAAGGGAGAGTTTCCAAGCTGAGCCATCCTGGCTCAGGAATTCTGGGAGTTGAAGTCCACAAGTCATGAAGGGGCCAAAGTTTCCCTCATGCTGCCTCAGGAATTCTGGGAGTTGAAGTCCACGAGTCATGAAGGGGCCAAAGTTTCCCCCATGCTGGTTCAGGAATTCTGGGAGTTGAAGTCCGCCAGTCATGAAGGGGCCATAGTTCCCCCATGCTGGCTCAGGAATTATGGGAGTTGAAGTCCACAAGTCATGAAGGGGACAAAGTTTCCCCCATGCTGGCTCAGGAATTCTGGGAGTTGAAGTCCACCAGTCATAAAAGAGCCATGGTTGCCTAAGCCTGGTCTAGGGTTTCCTGCTTGAGCAGGGGGTTGGACTAGAAGACCTCCAAGGTCCCTTCCAACTCTGTTATTCTATTAACATGATACAGGAATGGTCATTCTGCCTCCACTTACTACAAAGATACGCTAGCAGGGTCGAAGCCCTCTGTTGTAAGATACAAGCCCACTACATTTTTAATTTATTTGTTTGCATATTTATTTATTAAATTTATACAGCTGCCCCCACTCACTCTCAGTGGCTCTGGGCTGCTTACAAAAAAATAAAATAAAAAACCAATGTACAACAATAAAAACAGTAACTCCCCCATCCCCCATTTATGTGAAGACTAAATATGTGCGGATGTTGAGACTCTGGAAAGAGTGCAGAGAAGAGCAGCAAAGATGATCAGGGGACTGGAGGCTAAAACATATAAGGAACGGTTGCTGGAATCGGGGAATCCTCAACTTATGACCGTAATGGAGTCCGAAATTTTTGTTGCTGAGCAATAGAGTTGTGAATAGAAATAACCCTTAAAGAGTTATATACCGCTTCACATTGCTTTGCAGCCTTCTCTAAGCGGTTTACAAATGTCAGCCTATCACCCCCAACAATCTGGGTCCTCCTTTTACCGACCTCGAGAAGGACGGAAGGCCGAGTCAACCTTCAGCCGGTCAGGATCGAACTCCTGGCAGTGGGCAGAGTCAGCCTGCAATTACCGCATTCTAACCACTGTGCCGCCACGGCTCGTTAAGTGAGTTTGGCCCCCATTTTACGACTGTAAAATGCAGTCGCCAAGCTAGTAACATGCTTGTTAAGCGAATCCGGCTCCCCCCCCGTCGACTTTGCCCGTCAGAAGGTCTCAAAAGAGGATCCCGTGAGCCCCCCCCAGGGACGCTGCGACCGCCGTAACTATGAATCCGTTGCCCTTTGTGAAAAATGGGTCCTAAGTCGCTTTTCTCCCCCCCCAGCGCCATTGCAATGTCCGAACGGTCGTTAAACGAATCGCTGCGAGTCGGGGACTGCCTGTATACAACTGGCCTTCTCTGCAGGGTGCGGCTGTGGGATCCCACGCTTGCTCAGCCTGCCGTGAACGGATTTGCCAACTTTTTCCATTTCCACCCAAGCAGGGAGGGGAAAAATGCACATTTTTTGTGGCACATTTTGGCATCGGAGGTTCCAGATCAAAGCTGAGCCAGCTCACGACACTCAGCCAACTGCTAAAGTGGGGCAGGCCCCCCCATCTGTCCCCCCCCAGGAGGAAAATGTATTAGATGAGAGAGGAGCAGCCAGCCAGCTCCACACCCTTTGCGAGGGCTGTTTGGTGTTAAGAGGTGTGAAGTAATGCCTAAGGAGCACTTTAAGTGCCGAGAGCCGGACGCACAACGCCAGGGGTGTGTGATGCGCAAAAACTGTCTATGTTTCTTCTGTTGATGTGCTGTGATTCATTCTTCCTTCCGGGCAGATTTACAGAAAACCTTTTTTTGCATGTTCTACTCAGCTCTTTACAACGTTTGGTAGCCGGTGAAAAGGAGGAAGACCGTTAAGCATCTGGGCCCTGTGGAGATGAATAAGAGGGTAACAGAACTGGAAGGGACCTTGGAGGTCCTCTAGTCCAACCCCCTGCTCAGGCAGGAAACTCTTATACAACGTCAGACAAATGGCTGTCCAGTCTCTTCTTGAAAACCTCCAGGGATGGAGTACCCACAACTTCTGGTGGCAAGTTGTTCCACTGGTTAATTGCTCAGGAAATTTCATAGTTCAGATTGAAGAACGGTCGCGAGAACTGGGCATGGCTAGTTTAATGAGAAGGACCAGGGGGTGACACGATAGCATCTTCCAATCTTTTGAGGGGCTGCCCCAAAGAAGGGGGGGGGGGGTTGACCTAGTCTCCAAAGCCCCTGAAGGCAGGAGAAGAAGCAATGGATGGAAACTCATCAAGGAGAGAAGCAACCTGGAATTAAGGAGAAATTTCCTGGTATTGAGAACAATTAATCAGTGGAACAGCTTGCCACCAGACTTTGTGGGTGCTCCATCACTGGAGGTTTTTAAAGAAGAGATTGGACAGCATGGGGTTGGACTAGATGACCTCCAAGGTCCCTTCCAAGTCTGTTATTCTATTCTATTCTATTCTATTCTATTCTATTCTATTCTATTCTATTCCATATTTTCTATTCTATTCTATTCTATTCTATTCTATTCTATTCTATTCTATTCTATGCTGGTTCTTCTCTTGATTAGTTCCCATCTGTTGCTTCTTGTCCTGCCTTCAGGCGCCTTGGAGAATAGCTTGACTCCCTCTTCTTTGGGGCAGCCCCTGAGATTCTGGAAGACTGCTATCATGTCCCCCCTCGTCCTTCTCTTCATTAAACTAGACCAGTGGTTCTCAACCTTTTTAATGCCGCGACCCCAACCGGTCGTAGGTCGAGGACTAAACCGGTCGTAAGTCGAGGACTAAACCGGTCGTAAGTCGAAGACTTTCCCTGCCCGGGAGCGCCGCGCATGCGTGGTTCCGCCCCCTGCGCCGGCCGAGGCGTAGCTGGCAAGCGGCAGAGACGGAGCAGGCCGACCACCAGCTGGCCCAGCACAAGGGAGGTAAGGCACCCACCGGAAAAGGGGGAAAAAATGGCGGACAAAAAAAATGGTGGACAGCCTTGCTTGGCGACCCCCATGAAATGGTCGATCGACCCCAAATGGGGTCCCGACCCACAGGTTGAGAACCACTGAACTAGACATACCCAATTCCAGCAACCGTTCTTCGTATGTTTTAGCTTCCGGTCCCCAGATCCTGTTTGTTGCTCTCCTTGGCACTCTTTCCAGAGTCTCAACATGGTTTGTTTTTATATCGTGGCTTACAAAAAGCAGCCCTGGAAATAAGATCCCCTCCTCAAATGGGGGGTTGGACTAGAAGACCTCCATGGTCCTTTCCAGACTGTGCGACGCAAAGAAAGGAAGAAAAAAAAAAAAGCTGGATCCCTTGCAACGTTGCCAGGCAGATTTTGCAAATTCCAGAATCCTCTGCAGAGTTTCAAGGAATGCAGGAAAGTCGGGCTTACTTTTGTGATCTCACTATAATCGTCTGCCCTCAGCCTCCAATCGCAGTTTAAAACAAAAGCCTGTTGTGCGATTCATTTTTTTGTTGTTGTCCCGCTACCGGCTGTCTCGCTCCCTCCCTCTTTCTGCACAGTTCAGCCACTCGTCACTTTATAGGTCATCCTCGAGTTACGACCAGAATTTCCACTACAAACCGAGACGGCCGTTCAGCGGGTTGCATCCGATTTTACGACCTTTTTTTTCCCGTCCACGGTTCTTCACTGAATCACAGCAGCTGTTAAATGACTCACTCGATCCGGGGAGGGGTGGGTGATTTGGACTAGACTAGAGGACCTCCAAGGTCCCTTCCAATTCTATCGTTCCGTAATTCTGTACAGAACGATGCAGCAGTTTCATTTAGTGACCGTCCGAAGTTACAACGGCGCTGAAAAAAAGGGACTTAGGACCGGTTTTTCACACTTAACGACCGTTGCAGCATCCCCAGGGTCACGTGATCAAAATTCAGATGCTTGGCAACTGACTCGTACTTATGACGGTCATAGAGTCCTGGGGGGGGCGGTCGGTCACGGTATCCCCTTTTGCGACCTTCTGACAAGCAAACTCACTTAACGACCATGTGACTCATTTAACAAGGGCAGCCATTCCCTTAACAGTGGTGGGGAGAAAGGTCGTAAAATGGGTCCAAACTCACTTAACAAAGAATAATAATCTATCTTCTATATAAATAAAAATGTAAATGTTCGTTTGTTCAAAATCTTAAATCTCCGAAAGTTCTTCACCGATTGCTTTGAACTTTTGACACAACGTTGCATTCGAATACGCGCGTGTTTTTATATACCTATATTATATAAATGTCACACCTGTGACAGGTAAAAACATGCTTTTTTTAAAAAAACAGCGCCATCTGTTGGACGTAAAAGCAACACACGCCAGACTGAGCCACAGCAACGCGTGGCCGGGTAATAATAATAATAATAATAATAAAGTTGGAAGGAACCTTGGAGGTCATCTAGTCCAACCCCCTGCTCAGGCAGGAAACCCTACATACCCTTTCAGATGAATGTCTCGCTTAGCCACAGAAATGTGGTGGTAAGTCGAGGACCCCCTCCCGTAGAACCCCTTCTAATCATCCAGCTGAGTTCCAGGATGCTTTGCCACCTGTGGCCTACCCCGAAGGGTTGTTGCTAACCTATCGCTCACTCTGCAATGTAGGGAAATTCTCTTGGCTGCTTTGACTTCTCAGGCCTGTTGAGAGTTGAGGGGGTCTTGCCCCAACGTCCCCGGCTCCCCATGTGCCTCCTTCCCCCCCATAGCAAGGCAGAAGGAAGGCCCACATCTGGGGCACTTGGGCCAAAGGAAGACCAGCTTCTCAGCCCCACCAGCCTGTCTGCATTCAGATGTCCAGGGTTCCACCTCGGAAGGCACAAACGGGCAAGTCTAGGAAAGAGACAGGGGTGTCTTCTCCTCGGCTATTTCCACAACACAACTTTGCGGCTCTTGTCGACGCTCCCTATGTGGACCCCGGAGGGACCCCAAGCCACAGCATTCACGGAGGACCTGGGGAGAAAGAGAGAGAGAGAGGATTTCAGTCCAAGCGAGGCCATTGCACTACTCTCTAGGCCAGGGGTAGGCAACCTTGGCTCTTTTATGACTTGTGGACTTCAACTCCCAGAATTCCTGAGCCAGCCATGCTGAGGGGAAAGGAAGAGGTTTCCAAGCTGAGCCATGCTGGCTGAGGAATTCTGGGAGTTGAAGTCCACGAGTCATGAGGGGGTCATAGTTCCCCCATGCTGGCTCAGGAATTCTGGGAGTTGAAGTCTGCGAGTCATGAAGGGGCCATAGTTCCCCCATGCTGGCTCAGGAATTCTGGGAGTTGAAGTCCACGAGTCATGAAGGGGCCATAGTTCCCCCATGATGGCTCAGGAATTCTGGGAGTTGAAGTCCACGAGTCATGAAGGGGCCAAAATTCCCCCCATGATAGCTCAGGAATTCTGGGAGTTGAAGTCCACGAGTCATGAAGGGGCCAAAGTTTCCCCCATGCTGGCTCAGGAATTCTGGGAGTTGAAGTCCACGAGTCNGAAGTCCACGAGTCATGAAGGGGCCATAATTCCCCCATGCTGGCTCAGGAATTCTGGGAGTTGAAGTCCACGAGTCATGAAGGGGCCATAGTTCCCCTATGATGGCTCAGGAATTCTGGGAGTTGAAGTCCAGGAGTCATGAAGGGGCCAAAATTTCCCCCATGATGGCTCAGGAATTCTGGGAGTTGAAGTCCACGAGTCATGAAGGAGGCCATAGTTCCCCCATGCTGGCTCAGGAATTCTGGGAGTTGAAGTCCACGAGTCATGAAGGGGCCAAAGTTCCCCCATGCTGGCTGAGGAATTCTGGGAGTTGAAGTCCACGAGTCATGAAGGGGCCAAAGTTTCCCCCATGCTGGCTGAGGAATTCTGGGAGTTGAAGTCCACGAGTCATAAAAGAGCCAAGGTGGCCTACCCCTGCTCTAGGCTGTCATAAGCAAGATTCTGGGTGACTTTCACCTTTCAATCGAAAAAGAGCTGGGAGGGACCTCAGAGGTCTTCTAGTCCAACCCCCGGTTGTGTACAAGTGATTAACAGCAGGGTGTGGACGATGCCTTCGTGGGGTCCTCACTTGGGAAGGGACCCTTGGCCACCCAACCTCCACCCCAGGCAAAAGGCAAGTTAAATCCTCCCTAACAGATGTCTCCACCGCTCTTCCTGTGAAATCATAACACAAATAACAGGCTTGGAAGGGACCGTGGAGGAGAGCATGTTTTTTGATTACCCCCCCCAGGAGCGAGATTTGAACTCCAAACCTCGGCAGCTTCCTCTTAAGTTGACCCATCCGAGGGGGAAAAAAAAAAATCCTCACCGGTGGACTCCCGCCAGGCTGATCTCCAGCTTCCCCGTGGCCAGGTTCCAGAGGAAAAGGGCGCCATTGGAAGATCCAACTAAGGCGTATCTCTTATCGGGGCTGCCGGTTCAGAAATTCCAAATATAAAAAAATTGCCGTAAAAGAAATGAGAAAAGAGAGAAGGAGCTCCGTGAGAAACAGAAACGTACAAATCCTATTTCTAGTTTGATTGCTTTTTAAGGTAGAAAAGCACCATTTTGTCAGAAGGGCACTGAAAAAAATGGTAGAGTTTCCTGCCTGAGCAGGGGGCTGGACTAGATGACCACCAAGGTCCCTTCCTCCTCCTCCTAATTATTATTATTATTATTATTATTATTATTATTATTATTATTATTATTATTATTATTATTAATTACTTTTATTATTACTATTATTATTAAAAAGTCACTTACAACCCTTAATTCCCACTGCAGCATCCCCATGGTCACGTGATCAAAACTGGGATGTTTTGGCAACCGGCTTGCTTAGCGACACAAATCTTGGGCTCATTTGTGGTCCTACATGGAGGACTAATTTTAGTCCTTGACTTACAGCCACAATTGGGAGTGGTACTTCCATTAGTAAGTGAGGTGGACGTTAAAAGAGTCATGCTGAATTTTACAACCTTTTTTTTCCCAGCAGTTGTTAATAGGGTTGTTAAGTGAATCTCACGATTCTTAAGAGAATCCGGGTGTCCCCCCCCCCCCCATTTTGACTTTGCTTGTCAAAAGGTCGCAAAAGAGGATCGCCGGAGCTCGGGACGCTACAACAGTCATAAGTACATGCCAGTTGCTAAGCATCTGAATTTTGATCACGTGGGATGCTGCAACGGTCGTAAGTGTGAAAAATGGTCATAAGTCACTTTTTTTCCATGGCATTGTAATTTCAAATTGTCATTAAATGAACGGTTGTAAGTCAAGGACTACCTGTGTTTTGTTTTGTTTTGTTTTACTATTTTATTTTATTATTTTATTTATTTAATTTTATTTTATTATTTCATTTCATTTCATTATCTATTTCATTTTATTTTTAAAAAACTTTTATATAGCACCCTCCCAATCTTCTAACCAACTGTGGGCTCCCAACCCAAAGATAAAACAACATATAAAATTGATAGAACTTAGCACTAGCCCTAGCCCTTAGACTTATATACCACTTTACAGTGCTTTATAGCCCTCTCTAAGCAGTTTACAGAGTCAGCATATTTGCCCCCAACAATCTGGGTCCTCATTTTAGCGACCTTGGAAGGACGGAAGACCGAGTCTACCTTGAGCAGGTCAGGATCGAACTGCTGGCTGTGGGCAGAGTCACCTTGCAATACCCCATCCTGCGCCACCAGGCCTTTTAACACATTGAAACCTTAACCTATCTATTTATTTAAAGCATTTATCAATGTTTTTTTTTAGAATTTCCTTCTTCGGCTTGCGTCCCCAATGGCAGAGCAAACATTCACACACACTCGAACAGAGGCGTTGCACAACAACGCTGCCGCCACAGGTGTGAAAATGATGCGCAAAGGGATGAAAACCCTGGCAGGGTTCAAGCGGGCCCGAAAGGAAGGGACTCCCTGGCCAAAGAACACGCTGAGCATTAAAGATCGTGCGTGCCATCCCAGAATGGACTCACCTGAACACAGCCTTGGTCCCTTCGGATCCACATTTGAATCCCTCCGCCCTTCAAAAAAATAATAATAATAAAGATGATTACTGTGAGATGATGATGATGATGATGATGATGATGATGTTGGAAGGGACCTTGGAGGTCATCTAGTCCAGGGCTTTTCAACCAGTGGTAGGGGTACCACCTGTGGTACATTGGCACCTGGCAGGTGATACGCGACCATCCTAGAAAAGTGGTAGCAGGGGAGGGGAATGAGCTGAGCCGGTGGCAGCACCGCACAAGCCTGAGTGAGAGATGGCTGGAGCTGCAGGGCTGTCAGGGCTCAGCGGAAGCGCCAGGATCAGCGCCAGGATCCAGCTGGAGCTCAGCACTGATCCTGGTGCTTCCGCTGAGCCCAGAAGAAGCGCCGATCAGCTGGAATGTTGCAGCCTCTCCAGGGTCTTGTGATTTACATTCAGATGCTTGGCAACTGATTCATATTTATGACGGTCACAGTGTCCCAGGGTCATGGGAAGTGACCAAAACCTGCTGCAACCACCCAGCAGACAGGGGGGGGGAGAATAAAAACCAAACACCCCCCACCCCACCCCCGCTGCCAATCCTCAGCAGAAATGCTCACAACAATGAAAACCTCGGACAGGAGGAAGAGTGCGGCCGGGCGGGCAGGCAGGTGTCTTGCTCGGCTATGGCTTGGGGGGCACTTTTTTCAGTGCCATTGTAACTTCGAAGAGTCACTAAGCGAACTGTTGTAAGTCGAGGACTACCTGTACTTCATCACTTTTTCCCTTTTTTTTTTTTTTTTTTTTTTGGTCTTCAACTTTTTGACGCCTTGCTAGGCGACGGGTGGTACTTGGATGTTGCCATATCCTAAAAGTGGTACAATGGGTGAAAAGGTTGAAAAGCCCTGCTCTAGCTGGGTCATGAAACGTCTTCAGGGCAACAACCCAGCTCCAAGGTCACCAAGGACCCCACAGCCATCTTGGGATGGGCAGCCCCATCTCCAGAGACCCACCTGAACACCTGCTGGACAGTGTGCATCCTCAGATCGATGACCTTGAGGGCGTTGTCCCGAGAGCAACTCAGCAACTGCAGCTGATCGGGACTCAGGCTGAGCGAGGTCACCTTGCCTCCCACGGGGACCACCTGTGTGCAGTGAGGGTCCCTGGGGGGAGAAAGCACAGAGGGAGGGGTTCAGAGCCCCAATCTTGGCCAAAAGCTTCTGGCCATCCAGAGGTGATCAGGCCGAGGACCTCATCTCTTTAGAGCAGGGGTCCTCAACCTTGGCAATTTTAAGACTTGTGGACTTCAACTCCCAGAATTCCTCAGCCAGCAAAAGTGGCTGAGGAATTCTGGGAGTTGAAGTCCACAAGTCTTAAAGTTGCCAAGGGTGAGGACCCCTGCTTTAGAGAGAGACACCACTATGGGCTTCACGGGGTCAGGCATAGCTTTTTACGCTGATCTGCACCCCTTCCCCAAATAGATGGCCCCAAATAGATGGCCCCAATTCCTCTTCTTCCTCAGAGACTAAACAAGAGGATAAAAAAATCTGCATCAAAAACATACACATAGAACATAAAATAACAGAGCTGGAAAGGACCTTGGGGGTCTTCAGACTCTATATCATTTCAGACAAATGGTCTGAAGAATCTGTTCTTCACTTCACTTCATTTTTCACTTCACTTCACTTAAGAATCTCTTCTTAAAAACTTCCAGTATTGGAGCATTCACCGCTTCTGGGGGCAGGTTGTTCCACTGGTTAATTGTTCTAACTGTCAGGAAGTTTCTCCTTAGTTCCAGGTTGCTTCTCTCCTTGATCAGTGTCCATCTGTTGCTTCTTGTCCTGCCTTCAGGGGCTTTGGAGAATAGCTTGACTCCCTCTTCTTTGGGGCAGCCCCTGAGATACTGGAACATTAGATATCCAAAACTCTTCAGAATATTAATAGAATAGAATAAAGCTGGAAGGGGCCTTGGAGGTCTTCTAGTCCAGCCCCCTGCTCAAGCAGGAGAACCTGTCCTATACCATCTCAGACAAGTGACTGTCTCTTCTTAAAAACCTATTCTATTCCTATTCCTATTCCTATTCCTATTCCACTCCAATTCTATCCTATCCTATCCTATCCTATCCTATTCTATTCTCTATTTCCTATTCTATTCTATTCCATATTTTCTATTCTATTCTATTCTATTCTATTCTATTCTATTCTATTCTATTCTATTCTATTCTATTCTATTCTATTCTATTCTATTCTTATTCTTACTCTTATTCTTACTCTTATTCTTATTCTAGTCTATTCCAATCTATCCTATCCTATCCTACCCTATCCTATTCTGGAGCCCTGCTCACCTGGTGTCCCAGAAACGGATCATCTTGTCGTAGTGGCCGCTCACAATGACGTTGTTGCAACACACAACGTCGTAGCAGCAAGAGAAGACCTCGATGGTCCGAGAACCTGCAAGGATGGGGAGCAGTCTGTCATTCGGTGTGTGTGTGTGGGGGTCTGGAATGCCAAAGAACTCAACCATGGGGTGTGTGTGTGTGGAGGGGTCCACCCTGCTGCTCCCCCAAACCTTCAGCCCCCCCCCTTCACTCACATGCTCCTTTGACCAGGTCCCACTCTTTCACGGTCCTGTCTCGGCTGCCCGTCACCGCCTGCTGCCACGTCGACCTGAATTTGGCGGCGGTCACTTTGTTAGTGTGTCCTGTGAGAATCTCCTAGACGAGCAGGAATGTCGGAGGCCGGAAGAAACGGATGTCTCATTAAGAGCCAAGAAAAAATAAATAAAAACTCCAGAACAGTTTAGAAACCCACCTAAACCTCCAGCAACCTTCAAAGCAATCAGTCAACCACGCAAGAGCGTCAGAACCTGGGCTCAGAAAGAGAGAACAGCTCCCCATCTCACGTTGTCTTCTCCTCCCTAAAGGTCCAGGTGGGTCTCTCCTTAACAGCCTTCCAGGGGACTCCACAATTATTTTTGTTGGGTGTTATTACAGATTGTGATACTAAAGAAACTAACTTGAGGTTGAATTTGATAACAGCCGCAAGGTTATTAGTAGGGCAATATTGGAAGAAGGATTGCTTGCCTGCTATAGAAGAATGGACGCGTGAAGTGTCAAATTTAGCAGAAATGGCCAAGATTTCTGCCTATTTGAAGGATCACTCACAAGAAAGATACATTTCGATTTGGAGAAGATGGATAGATTATATTCAGAACAAATATGGGGCTAAAAAGTTCCATTTAGCCTATGAGTAAATTTTAGAGTATTATTAGTATTAATAGTTTATTATAGTGAAATTTTTATTAGTTTTAATTATATGATATTATTATTACTTTTAGTATTAGTATTATTTAACAATATGGATATTCTATTGTTTAATAATTAGGATACTACCGGTAATTTGTTTATGTTTTAATTATTATTATTATATGTATGTTAAAGGGGGGTTAAAGCGCATTATGGACTTGGTTATTTATATAGTTGATTAATGTTAGTTAGATTATGATTATTATATTTGTAACCCTGTATTCAGCTCTGGGAAGTGGGGGAGGGAGAGGGGGGGTTAGGGTGGGTTGGTTTTGGGGTTTATATTGTAACTTTTATAAAACTTTTCAATTAAAAAAAACAACAACAGTCTTCCAGGGGAGAAGTCAAGGCAGAGATCTGGAGAGTTTTGGGTGGCTGACATAGGGAGAAGCCACTCATGAGACATTGGGGTAGGGGAAGGAAAGAAGGACAGGAAAAGGAAGAGGCGGAAGATCGATAAGGAGGAAGAGGAGTTAGATAAAGAGAAGAAGAGGAGGAGGAGGAGATGAACAGGAGGAGAAGAGAAGAAGAGGAAGAGGAGGAGGAGATAGATGAGGAAGAAGAGGACATAAAGAGAAGGAAAAGGAGAAGAGAAGGAGGAGATAGATAAGGAGGAAGAAGAGGAGATGGATAAAGAGAAGAAGGAGAAGGAAAAGAGAAGAAGAGGAGATAGATAAAGAGAAGAGGGAAAAAGAAGAGGAGATAGAGAAGGAGGAAGAGAAGGAGAAGGAGAAGAGGAGGAAGGGAGTAGAAGATAAGGAGCAGGAGTGGAAGAAAAAGAGGAGAACAAAAGGGGAGAAGAGATGAGGAGAAAGAGAAGGAGAAGGAGAAGAAGAAAAGAGAAGAAGAGATAGATAAGGAGAAAGGGAAGAAGAGGAAAAGGGAAGAAGAAGAGGAGATAGAGAAGAAGGAAGAGAAGGAGATAAGGAGCAGGAGTGGAAGAAAAAGAGGAGAACAAAAGGGGAGGAGAGACGAGGAGAAAGAGAAGGAGAAGGAAGAGAGATGAGAAGAGAAAAAGAAGAAGAGGAGATAGATGAAGAGAAGAAGGAGAAGAAGAGGAAAAGAGAAGAAGAGGAGATAGATAAAGAGAAGGAGAAGGAGAGGAAAAGAGAAGAAGAAGAGGAGGAGATAGAGAAGGAGAAGAGAAGAGGAGGAAAAGGGGTAGACAGATAAGGAGCAGGATTGGAAGAAAAAGAGAACAAAAGAGGAGATAGATGAGGAGAAAGAGAAGGAAGAGATAGATGAGTAGAAGAGACGGAGGAGGAGAAGAGAAAAAGAAGAGGAAGAGAAGGAGATAGATAAGGAGGGAGAAGAGGAGGAAGAGGGGTAGACAGATAAGGAGCAGGATGGAAGAAAAAGAGGAGAACAAAAGAGGAGATAGACGAGGAGAAAGAAGTAGGAGGAAGAGATAGATGAGAAGAGACGGAGGAGAGAAAAACAAGAGGAAGAGGAGATAGATGAGAAGAAAAAGAGGAGGAGGAAGAGACAAAGAGAAGGCGAAGGAGTAGAGGAAAAGAGAAGAAGAGGAGGAAGATGAGGAGGAGAAGAGGAGGAAGAAGGGTAGATAAGGAGCAGAAGAAAAGAGAACAAACGAAGAGGAGGAGAAGGAGATAGACGAGGAGAAAGAGAAGGAGGAGATAGATGAAGATAAGAGATGGATAAAGAGGAGAAGGAGGAGGAGCAGATATCACACAGTAAAAGTTCCAAGACTGTTATGCTCACTAAAATGAATAATCCATAAAAATGATTAGCTTTTCCATGGAGTTGATTTCCTGGCCAGGCCTACCTGGCGGGGCTGACAATAGGCTAGGACAGGGGTAGGCAACCTTGGCTCTTTTATGACTCATGGACTTCAACTCCCAGAATTCCTGAGCCAGCATGGGGGAACTATGGGCCCTTCATGACTCGTGGACTTCAACTCCCAGAATTCCTCAGCCAGCATGGGGGAACTATGGCCCCTTCATGACTCCTGGACTTCAACTCCCAGAATTCCTGAGCCAGCATGGGGGAACTATGGCCCCTTCATGACTTGTGGACTTCA